CAGATACAAGAAGATAAAAAAGCCAATCTACGAAGTTAAGTAGGTTTTAGGTGTGCCTCTTGGTGGTATCGGATGTGGTTCGATAGGAACAGATTTTCGCGGTGGATTCAATAAATTCTCCTTGATTCCTGGTATCAAAGAACAGCGTCAGGGGAATGTCAAGGCTAACCAAGTAGGTGTATGAACCAAAAGAAGTTATTTGTACTTCCTTGTTGTTGGAGATAAGAACTAGTTTTACTTACGTACCTTAAGTAGCTCATTAGCATTGCTCTCACAGTTTAATATTTACAAAAATGTACATATAGAGTACGCAGTCTATGAATTTAAACGATTTCAGTTCTACACTTAACTCCGACTTCCTGATATATTTTCCAGTTTATTCTAACTGTGCATGATGCATCTGACTCGGAACTAGTTTTTCAATCATTATTAACCACTGCAGATTTCACAGATTCAAGATTAAGTAGCTGGGTCTCGTATATCCATGGATATAATACTAGGTAATGCGGCTTGAGTATGCGCTCCTTTCTATATCTTTGACGCAAAAGTTAGGTAAACAATAGAAAAGTTATTGCTGGAATTAAGGTACCGAGGACTTTTCCCTCGGGCTTGGCGGGAAATTCGAATACCAGAAATTGGTTTGACACTAATCTGCGAACAAATGTCACCAGTCATTCCGCATAACTATGAGGTCTGCCATTTTATAAATATAAACAACCAAGCAAGCCTAGAGCTCCACATTCAAAGGTAACATCGTTTCCTGTTTCCAATTTCTATTGGACAATAATCAATAATAGTGAAACTGATTACGATGTGTCGCTCACATTCACATTTCGTAATGGGACAGGCAATGCAAAGTGGGAAAGAGAGGATGATTGTAGGTAAGACTACAAAATACGTCTCCTCTGTCAAACTAACAAGTCGTTCTCTGAGTTCACGTTGAACATTTTAACGTCACACACATCTTCATAAGGCAACTCGAATTCTGCGGAATCTAATAGAGATACTCAATTGAAAATTGCTGCAAAATTATCTGCTGCTCCCAAAAGAATTAAGTGATATACAAAACACAGCACATAACAATTGAATTCCACCTTCTGCTTTGTGAAGAAAATTTTAGAGCTAACATAAATTCTTTTTAGTGCCAAAATTCTTGAAACAGCATCCGCAAAAGGTTTGAAGCTTAGCCATAAAATTAAATCAATGCGAACAATATTCGCTATAGCAACAGAAGAGGTAGGCATATCTTACATATTGACATAAATCGCAGAATGTGTTCTAAAAACGGATGATAACTTTGAACATCTATCTTAAATTGGAAAACTCTGTGTATATTTTCAAGCGTGACACATCTCAGTAAAAAGCTCCCCGCCCCCTACCTGCCGAAACCTTACTGCTCAGAAATTGGCTATACATCTGTTCTTTGTAATTTATAATGCAAGAAAATTAGTGTCCAAAAGTAGACTATTCCTAGATATTAGTATTTGGCACATTTCACCCAAAGCGTGTGATACCATTACGGGAAACTGCTACAGTAAAATTAGATGCAGATTTAGTGTATGTTGAAGTCCAAGTT